ATATTGTAAAGAAAGATTTATTTATGAATTTGAATTTGATAGTGCAACTTATAAATTGGGTGAATTAAAAAAATGTAACAAGTGCAAATTACGCAAATATTCAGACAGATTTTGTGAAAACTGTATTTGTTTACATTTACAGAAGCTTTTTGATACATGGTCTTCTGGAAACAGCATCATTGATAATTTTATTCAAAAATGTCAAAAGCTCTCATCTCTTCCTACACATATTATGGAATGGATCCCATTTGATCAATTTGAAGAAGTGGAATATTTAACTAAAGGAGGTTTTGGTAGCATTTATGTTGCCACATGGAAAAAAGGGCGTATATTTGATTATGATGAAAATAAAAAAGAATTTATTTATAATGGATCTCAAGATGTAGCATTAAAACTATTAAATAATTCAAATGAGTTGGGGAAAAAATTTTTTGATGAGGTCAGTAGTAAATTATTTTAAATTAAAATTATATTAATCATTATATTAATTGATTTTTTTTTCATATAATATTTCAGGCATTAAATTATTGTAAAATTAAATCTGGTAGGATTGTTCCCTGTTATGGTATAACTAAATTCCCAGAAAATAACAACTATGCAATAGTCCTAAATTATATTCCAGAAGGAAATTTAAGAGATTATTTGCAAACAAATTATTCACATTTAACTTTAAAAGATAGAATTACAATATTTAGGTATTTATGTGAGTCATTAGATGATATACATCAAAAAGATTTAATGCATTGTGATTTACACAGTGGTAATATTTTAGTCCAAGGAAATTGGTGTTATATCACTGATTTAGGATTATGTGGGCCAGTTGATGATGAATCATCAAACAAAATATATGGAATTATATCATATATTGCACCTGAAATTTTTCGAAAAACAAGCAAAAATACAAAAGAATCAGATGTATATAGCATTGGAATGTTGATGTGGGAGATATTTTCAGGACATCCACCTTTTGGTGATAGAGCACATGATCATCATTTAATTATGGAAATTTGTAAAGGTTTAAGACCACCAATTTTATCAAATATTCCAGAAGAATATGCAAAAATGATGCAAAAATGTTGGGATGTTGATCCATATAAAAGACCAACTATTGGAGAACTTTGTGATTTTGCTTGTGATTATTTAACCAAAATTTATAAAATTGAAAGTTTAAGTAATGAAACTATAATTTCTACTACAAGCAACTCACAACAAATACAAAAATCACATCCATTAGCATATCATTAAAGCAGAATATTAGATGATGATATTGCTAGATATAAAAGTTTACAACATGATCTTGAACTTGGACCAATATCCAAAGTAATTGATCATTCAAGCAGAATATCAGATGATGATATTGCTAAATATAAAAGTTTACAATATGAACTTGAACTTGGACCAGTATCTAAAGTTGTTTCTGAAATTGATGATAATAAAAGTAATTAAATTTTATTATGATTAATTAATCAACTGAGATTTTCTAATTTTTTTAATTTTTCAATTAAAATTAGATTCTTATGGTAAAGAAAATGATTTAGAAATGATGGATGTGGTTGATGAAATTAGCAAGATTAATGAAATTGCATAATGGAACCAAGGTAATATTTAAGTAAATGTTTAAGAAATGAATAATTAATGAAATTTTATGTATTTTTAAAACAGTTGAAATTAGCAATAAAATCTAACAATAATCCAATTAAACTTTTTACTGGTAAATTTATTAAGTTTATTTTTTATTTATTTTTTTTTGAATTATTATAAAAAAAAAATTTAAATCAAAATCCCTTTTATGGAAATTCAGAGTATTTTTATTATGTAGGACAAAATACAGAAATAAACACAAGCACAATTCTTCTAAAAAACCTGATAGTTTTAATAATAAAGAATTGAATGATCAAGCCTTTGGTATGGCAGCCATCATGGGTCTTGATCCACCATTATTCTCAATTTGTCATATTTTAAGTCCTTTGTAGATTATAGACTTTATTTCTTTCCAATCAAAGTTCTATTCAAACCCTTGTAATCTTTATCCTTGAGGATGACACTAAACTCCTTCTGTTACAAACAGCATTGAATCTTTTTTTATTGCTACTACTGTGCAAGTTGATCAATGTATGAGGACAGGAGGATTGGGAATTTAACTAAAATGACAAGTTGCATGCAACCACCATTTTAAAAAAAGTTCTGAAAAGACAGCTTAGAAATTTTAGGACTGAATATGGTAATCAATGTGCAAAAGTATTTTGATAAGGTCAAGAGTTATTGAAGTCATAGCAGTTTGGTTAAGTGAATCTAATTGCCAATGTTAACAATCAAAAATGTTTATATTAATTAAGAAAGAGACAGACATGGCAAATTTTTATTTTTAAAAAAAGATACATATAGAATTATTTAAATATTTAAATCTGTATAATTTATTTATTTGCTATTTAAAGGAATAAATAATAATAGTAATACATAATAAATAATTGATATTAATGTAAATAATTAATCATCCATTGATAATTCACCCAACAT